AAAATGTGATAAACCTATCACTGGACTCTAATTTAAATGTAGAGTCCCGAAAGCTAAGTGAGTTGGTATCTACCACAGAATATTGCTGTTTAGCATTAGTCTCCTTGAAAGATGAAAATAATGATGTAAAAAGAGAAAAAATTGTTTTAGTTATAAGAGAACATCAAAGCCTTCCACTGTGCTATCAGTATAGTCTTTCCAGAAGGAATATTCTCAGTAAGTAGATGTCTGTCAGCAAGAGAAAGGGGTGTGTGTGTGTGTGTGTGTGTGTGTGGGTGTGCATGCGCATGCACACATACATGTGCACATGAGCACATCTCCACATTTGCTATTGCAGGAGTCATTGGAACAGGAGCTAGATAATAAACCAGGGATTAGTGAACATATTGACCCCACAAATTAAAGAAAATAGTGGAGATTGATTTTGGAAATTAGGAAGAATATCTCAAATGTCTGGTGAATATTCATATTCCATAATTCATCAGGTTTTGAGAGTTCAGTATTAGAATGTTGTGTATTCTCTTCTGTTTCCTAATATCACCTCATTTCTTTCTGCATTTACATGCACTTTACCTCCCTTTCTTTGTTTCAGGGGAAAAAAAAGGTGCACCCTTTCCTATTCTCCAGGTCAGTTCTTCCTGTCTCCAGCAGGACCAGGAGCCTGCTCTTTAATCATTTCCTTTTTCATCTGTATTTTCAACATCTCTTGATATTCTGACTCTGTCATTGCATCTCACTTTTTTTTTTTTTGTAAATAAACTCCTATCACTGGCCTTTTTTTCTTCATCAAATCAATCCAAAACTCATGTGTGCTTATATCTACATCCTCAACACCCATTCACTATTTAAAATTTTAGTTTAAATGTTTATCAAAATGTAAAATTTGCAAAAAAAACCCCCCTCATTTTCAAGAGTCAAATAGTTCCCCAAGAGTATACTAAGAAAACAGCACTCTCAGACCAAGCTTTACCTCTTCTGTAGCCCATGAGCAATACACTTTTACTTCCTTTATTTCACATTCTTCATTTTGCTACATAACATACTTCTTCATTTTACCATTTCAGGCAATGTCTATTGATTACTTTTATTTTATGAAATACATCTCTTAATAATATCCTCCTTCACATATATAGTTCCCAGAACTATCTTTCTAATATAGTTATATATTATTAATTTTGATGTCATGTGATTTTAACTTTTAAATGACACTCATGGTTGAGTCACATGACTATGTGATTCTTTCCTGCAGGCCCTTCTTGTTTCTGGATCTAACATTTTCTCTTTCTCTCATTTGCTTAGTTTTTTCTATGTACTTTTGTGTATCTGCCCTCAATGGTCTAAATCTCTCATTGTATTCAAACACTTCAGGGATTTTGTTAGTTTTATCTTTTATAGAAATGTCTCCTGGAGCCTGCCTTCCAACTTGCTCCAGTTTAGACTGGTTATCACCCACAATTGGCAAACAGCTGTCATTCTGGGATCTCTCTTCACTACTCACCATTTCCTTTTTTCACTATTGAGGTAGATTTGCTTCCTGTTACCTCACCCTCATTTGCTTCCTGTTACCACACCCTCATTTTGGCAGAATATCTCCCTTTCAGTAATTTTTGGTGGAAGGCTGTAAAGGGAGTGTATGTGTGTAAATATTTTGGTTCCTTGCATGTCTATCATTGACATGTGCAGTCTATATCACCATGTATAGTCTATCACCAGACTAAATTGTAGTGTGGTTGTGTATAGAATTCTTAGTTGAAGGGCACTTTCCCACAGAATTTTGAATGTCATTGTTACAGTGTTGTTAAGAAATTCAGGTCAGCAAGACAGCAAAATAGGAGTTCCTCAGCTTATGTTCTCCCACTCGATTACCTGGAAGCCATTCATGGACAAATGTGCCATTGTGAGAACTTTGGGGAAGGTTGCAAAACCTAAATTAAGCCCAAAACCAAGGAGAGCCACTTTGAGAAGGCAGGCCTGGACCACAGCGGCAGGCTTCCTGAGCATGGTCCTGGCTATAGATCAAAGGGACACCATCTTATTATGGACTAGCTTCAACTGCCTATGGCCATAGTACTAAATCTAGCTCTATCCACTAAGGAACCTGGAAGGAGCCACATCCATCTGTATTGGAAACCAGCTTTTTGTTTCATTTATCTTTTGTATCTTTTTTGTTTTAATTTCATTTAGTTATGCTCTGATCTTGGTTATTTCCTTTCTTCTGATAGGTTTGAGTTTGTTTTGTTCTTGTTTTCCTAGTTCCTTGAGGTGTGACCTAAGATTGTCTATCTGTGCTCTTCCAGACTGTTTAATAAAGGCATTTAAGGCTATGAATGTTCCTGTTAGCAGCACCTTTGCTGTATCCAAGAGGTTTTAATAAGTTTTGTTACTATTACTGTTTAGTTCAAAGAATATTTCAATTTCCATTTTGATTTCATTGTTGACCCAATGATCATTCAGGAAGAGGCTATTTAATTTCCATATGTTTGCATGGTTTTGAAGGTTCCTTTTGGAGTTGATTTCTAATTTTATTGCACTCTGGTCTGAGCAAGTACTTGATATAATTTCAATTTTCTTAAATTTATTAAGACTTGTTTTGTGGCTTATCATATGGTCTATCTTGGAGAAGGTGCCATGTGCTGATGAATAGAATGCATATTCTACAGTTGTTGTGTAGAATGTTCTGTAAATATCTATTAAGTCCACTCATTTCAGGGTATAATCTAAATTCATTATTTTCTTTGTTGACTTTCTGTCTTATCTGTCTAGTACTGTCAGTAGAGTATTGAAGTGCCCTCACTATTATTGTGTTGCTGCTTATCTCATTTCTTAGGTCTAGTAGTAATTGTTTTATAAATTTGAGAGCTCCAGTGTTAGGTGCATATATATTAAGGAATGTGATATTTTCCCGTTTGATAAGGTCTTTTATCATTATATAATGTCCCTCTTTGTCTTTTTAAATTGCTATTGCTTTGAAGTTTGTTTTGTCTGATATGAGAATAGCTAATTCTGCTTGCTTTTGGTGTCCATTTGCATGGAATGTCTTTTCCACCCCTTTACCTTAAGTTTATGTGAGTCCTTATGTGTTAGGTGAGTCTCCTGAAGGCAGCAGATACTTGGTTAGTAAATTCTTATCCATTCTGCAATTCTGTATCTTTTAAGTGGAGCATTTACACCATTTACATTCTGTATTAGTTAAACAACCAAAGCTAAGAATAATTGGTATTAGTATTGAGATGTGAAGTACTATTCCATTCATACATATTATTTTTCAACTGTATAACTTTTTTAAATTGCATTTTTGTTTTATAGGTTCTGTGAGATTTATTCTTTGACGAGGTTTTGTTTTGATGTGTTTCCAGGATTTGTTTCAAGTTTTAGAACTCCTTTTAGGAGTTCTTAAAGTGCTAGGTTTGTAGTGGCAAATTCTCTCAGCACTGTTTGAAGGAAAGAAGACTGTATCTTTCCTCATTTATAAAGCTTAATTTTACTGGACACAAAATTCTTGGCTGATAATTGTTTTGTTTAAAGAGACTGAAGATAGAGCCTGTATTCCTTCTAAATTGTCAGGTTTCTGCTGAGAAATCTGCTGTTAATATGATAAGTTTTCCTTTTAGGTTACCTGGTACTTTTGCTTCACAGCTCTTAAGTTTCTTTCCTTCATCTTGACTTTAGATAACTGAAGACAGTGTGCCTAGGTGATGATCTTTTTGTGATGAATTTCTTGGGTGCCCTTGTATTTGGATGTCTAGGTTGCTAGCAAGTCCAGGGAAGTTTCCCTTGATTACTCCCCCAAATATATTTTCCAAACTTTTAGATTTCTCTCTTCCTCAGGAATACCAGTTATTCTTAGGTTTGGTCATTTAACATAATCGCAAACCTAGTGGAGGCTTTGCTCATTTTTTAAAATTCTTTTTTCTTTGTATTTGTTGGATTAGGTTAATTCAAAAGCCTTGTCTTTGAGCTCTGAAATTCTTTCCTCTGCTTGTTCAATTCTATTGCTGAGACTTTCCAGTACATTTTTCATTTCTCTAAGTGTGTCCTTTATTTCCTGAAGCTGTGATTTTTAAAACAAAATTTATGCTATTTCACTGAAGATTTCTCTCTTCATGTCTTGTAACTTTTTTTAAATTTCCTTAAATCGAACTTCACCTTTCTTTTGTGCCTCCTTGATTGGCTTAATAATCAACCTTTTGAATTCCTTGTCAGGTAAATCAGAGATTTCTTCTTGATTTGGATCCATTGCTGGTGAGCTAGTGTGATTATCGGGGGGTGTTAAAGAACTTTGTTTTGTCCTATTACCAGAATTGTTTTTCTGACTCCTTTTCATTTGGGTAGGCTATGTCAGAGAGAAGATCTGGGAGGTCAAGGCTGTTATTCAGATTCTTTTGTCCCATTGGTGTTCCCTTGATGCTGTGTTCTTTCCCTTTTCCTAGAGATGTGGCTTCCTGAGTGCTATACTGCAGTGATTGTTATTTCTCTTCTGGATCTGGCAACTCAGCAGGGCTACTAGGCTCTGGGCTGGTACTGGCTGTCTTCATGGAGTCCTGTGATGTGAACCATCTTCAGGTCCCTCAGTCATGGATACCAGCACCTGCTCCAGTGGAGGTGGCAGGGGTGTGAAGTGGACTCTGTGAGGGTCCTTAGTTTTGTTTTTTTACTACACTATTTTTGTGCTGCTTGTCCTCCTGCCAGGAGGTGGCGCTTTCAAGAGAGCATCAACTGTGGCAGAATAGGGCTGATCAGGCAGTGGGTGGGGCCCTAGAACTCCCAAGAGAATATGCCCTTTGTCTTCAGCTACCAGGGTGGGTAGGGAAGGACCATCAGGTGGGGGCTGTGCTAGACATGTCTGAGCTCAGACTCTCCTTGGGCAGGGCTTTCAGTAGCTGCTGTGGGAATGGGGGTGTGGTTCCCATATCAATGAAGTTATGTTTTCCAGAAGATTATGGCTGCCTCTGTTGTGTCATAAAGGTTGTCATGGAAGTGGGGAAGAACTGTCAGTTACAGGCTTTGCCCAACTCCCACACAACCAAAAAGGCTGGTTTCAATTCCACTGTGCTCTCCACAACAGCACAAAGTTTGTTTCCAGGCAGTGGGTGAGCAGGGCTGAGAACTTGCCCGATACTACCAGCCTACCATCTGAGAAAGCAAGCAGAACTTTTGCACCTCTTGGCCTGTTGAGTCTGCATACTGGGTTCATGCCCTCCCCCATGTTCTGGCCAGGAGATTTCCTATTTAGCTGGAATTGTTACAAAGTTCAGCTGGAGGTTTCCTTCTCCTTGTAGTCTTTTTCCAGTTCCCTGGCAGCCCTCCCCAAGTACTCCTGTGAGACAAATCAGAAATGGCTTCAATGGGGACCCAAAGAGCCCACAGGGCTTTTCCTACTGCTTCCTCTACTACTCTATTTTACTTGGCTCTCTAAATTGACTCAGCTCCAGGTAAGGTCAAATCATTCTGTGATATATACCTTCAGGTTTCCCAGTGAGGGCGTGTGTTCAAGTTAGAGGATTTCCTCTTTTCACTGTCACAGCTTGGGCACTCATAGTATGTGGGCTGTCTCCCAGGTCCTGCAGGACCAATCCACTTCCTTCAGAGGGCCTGTGGGTTCTCTCAGCTTCCCTGATATATTTCTGCAGTAGTTCTAGAGCCCCCACACACTGCTCTGCCTGTCTGAGCAGGAGCTGCAAGCTAGTCCTGCTTCCTGTCTGCCAACTTCTCTCTCCTGAATATACCAAAATGGACTAAACAGTTAAATGTAAGTCCTAAAACTGTAACACCAAGAATAAAAAATAGGGATAAAGCTTCTTGCCATTGTTCTGAGCAATGATGCTTTCTATGTGACAGCAAAAGCATAGGCAAAAAAAAAAGTAAAATCAGATAAATGAAACTACATCAGATTGAAAAGTTTCTGCACAGAAAAGGAAAAAATCACCCTATGGAATGGAAGAAAATATTTGCAAACTGTACACCTAATGAGGTATAAATATCCAAAGTATATGAAGAACTCAACTCAATAGCAAAAAATACATAATCTAATTAAAAAGTGGGCTTGGCATAACAGCTCAGGCCTGTAATTTCAGCACTTTGGGAGGCCAAAGATATATAAATATTTATAAATCTTTGGCCTCCCCCAAAAAAGTGTATATATAAATAGCTGAGTGTGGTGTGGTGGCACATATTTGTAATCCCAGCTACACAGCAGGCTGAGGCAGGAGGATCTCTGGAGCCCAGGAGTTTGAGGCTGCAGTGAGCTATGATCACACTACTATACTCCAGCCTGGGCAACAGAGTGAGATATTGTCTCAAAATAAATAAATAAATAAATGAAAGTGGGGAAAGAATCTGAAAAGATATTTCTCCAAAGAAGACATGCAAATAGCCAATAAGTATATGAAAATGTGATTGATATAATTAATAATCGGGAAAACATATCAAAACCACAATGAGTTATTATCTTACTACTGTTAGAATGGCTATTATCAAAAGAACAAAAATCAGTTTTGGTGAAGGTGTGGAGAAAAGAGAATCCTTTTATACATTGGTAGGAATGAATAGTATGGCCAGTATAAAAACTAGTATGGAGGTTCCTCAAAATTTAAAAATAGAACTATCGTATGATTTAGTAATCTCACTTCTGAGCATATGTCCAGGGAAAGGAAATCAGTAAGTCAAAGAGTTTTCTTGGAGGCTGATGCCTTATCCATTAGGCCACTGGGTCGCCACAGTCAAAGAGTTTTCTGAACTTCCATGTTCACTGCAGCATTAGGTATAATATGATATGGAAAGAACCTAGATGTCTGTTGCTGGATGAATGAAAAAAGAAAATGTGATATTATATCTATGGAACTTTATTTAGTGGAATATCATTCAGCCTTTAAAAAAGGAAATTCTGTCATTTGAGATAGGATGGATGAAACTGGAGGATCTTATGCTAAGTGAAATAAGCCAGACACAGAGAGACACTGCATGATCTTACTTATATATGGAATCTTAAAAAGTCGAAGCCATAAAAGCAGAGTAGAATTGTGGTTGCCAGGGACAGGTGGGTGAGCAGTTAAAATAGGGAGATGTCAAAGGGTACAAAGATTTATTTATGCAGGATAAATAAATTCTGAAAATCTACCCTATAGCATGATGACTATAGTTAATAATACTGTACTTGCATACTTGAAATTCGCTAAGAAAGTTGATCTTAAGTATTGTTACCATACATAAAAATTATAACTATGTGAAAAGGGAGATATGTTAATTTGTTTGATTGTGGTAATCATCTGACAATGTATACATATATCAAAACATTATATTGTGCACCTTACATACATACAATTTTTATTTGTTAAGCACCCTTCAATGAAGCTGACAAAATCTAAAGCCACTCTAATTCCTGATCTTTTGTATGTGACTTTACTTACATTTTATATATTCATCCACAATGTTCTGAAACTGCTCAGGTTATGCCTTCATGTGGCTAATTTTTATCTGTTGTTCTTGGCACTCAGTGTATGCTTTCAGTGTAGGAAATGTTCTTGGATTTGTTCTTTAGTGCTTCCCTTTTCTCCATTTTTTCTATTTTTTTCTGAAACTTTTATTAACTGAATGTTGGACTTCTTTGATTCTCTAATTTTCTTTTCCTTTCTCTCTATATCTTTCTGTCTCACTCTCTGAAATGGGGTCTTATTCTGTGGTCTCACTCTGTGGCCCAGACTGGAGCTGGTGCACTTCAGTTTTGACCTCCTGGACCCAAGCGATCCTCTGGCCTCAGCGTCCTGAGTAGAAGTAGCTGGGGCTACAGGCATGCACCATGCCTGGCTAATTTTTTTTTTAATTTTGTGGAGACAGGGTCTTACTGTGTTGCTCAGACTGGCCTTGAACTCTTGGGCTCAAGTGATGGTCCCACTTTGGTGTCCCAAAGTGTTGGAATTAGAGGCATGAACCACTACACGAATCCTCTTATCTCTATTTTTTATCCCTGTCTTTTATTCTACTTTATAGGAGAGGTCCTCCACATCTTCAAAGCCCTTTTATGAGGTTTTTATTTCTGAAAATATATTTTTATTTTTCTAAGAGCTCTTTGTTATTCTTTGATTATTTCGTTTATTTACTTATAATATCCTGCTCCTATTTCAGATGCACTAAACTTTATCTGTGACTATATTAATGGTAGTTTTTAGTGGTTTTCACCTCCCTGCCTAGATAATTATTTGCTTCATGTTTTGTTTTCTGCCTTTCACGTTAGATGTTGTCTTTACTTGTCTGGGCATCTGTAACTATCTGCTTATGTTTCAGGTGATAGCAATGTAAAGCTGATGGGAAGCTCTGTAAAAGTAGGGTGAGTTCCGGCTTGTGAACTGTGGGCTTGATTTTTATGGTCAGGTTTTGGTTATTTCAGCTGTTTCTTTGGGAAATCCCAGATATCAGTATTTTTAGGTCTTTTTTCCTTAGGCTGATCAGAGTCACTCATGAAGATTCTTCTACTCTCCAGTCTGGAAGGTACAATTCTGGTACCAGATTTCTGGGACAGAGATGGGAAGAAGGCTGGAGGTTTCAACATAGAGTATGAAAATTTCCTTTAAACCCCAGTGAATTCTGTATGGTACACAACCAAGGACTGTCTTCTAGCATAATATATATATATATATTTTTTCATTTTCTGCCTACTGTAAATCTCCAGTTTTCCATAAAGTGCTAAAGACTATCTGCTGGAGAAGAGAGACCATTTGGAGTTTGAGTAATTTTTAAATAAACTTTCAAATAATCTTTCTTTTTTAAATCCTGCCTTCCATCGAAATCCCACTGGCATCAACATCTGGTACTGCTATTTCCAGAATAGTTGGGTAGGGAATCTGGGGTGCAAATTGATTGCTTAGCTTTCCTCATTATTGGTTGAGAATACAACTTCCTTCACTTTGCTAAATCATCTGCCAACCATCTATCAGTTGGCATCTCCTCCCACCCTCTCCCATTTTAAGTCTAGTTTCCCAAAATTGTTATCCTCTCCTGTTTGCTTTGTCCTTCACAGGACAATGGTTTAAAAAATTTCTTTACTGTTACGTGGGTGGATACGGAAGAGAGCAAGGGTAAATGGATGGTTTCATTCTGCTACTTTTACCCAGCTATCTCCACTTACCTTTCAGGTAACTTTTCCAACTGCACTTTCATCCTGCTGAAACCACCCTGGCAAGGAAACTGATGACTCAGGCCTCCACAGTACTTATCTTATCTGTGGTGTTTGAAACTGATCGTTTCTATCTTCCTTGGAAACCATTCCCTTCCCTATGATTCATAACTCATGTGCTTTTGAATCACCTACTTCTCTTTCTTCCTGGTCTTGTCCCAGATATTTCTTGGTCTATAATTTATTGTTGATGTGCCCCAATGTTCTCTCTTTTCTCTTCTGACTTTCCTGCCTAGGGTAATTTGATTTCTTTTCTTTTTTTTTTTTTTTTTTTTTTTGACCAGTTGGCATTTATTATTGTAGTTACAGTTTGTCACCATAGTAAAAGGAGTAGAGGAACCAGAACTCTTTGTTGTCACAAAGAAATAAATAAAGCTTATTTTTCGGAAAATTCTAACTGAGTAAGTGATATCTAGCAGTAGCACTAGAGGTGCCCAGCCTTGTGTGACAGATGAAGCTGGGATAGGAGTCATGTTAAATTCTACCTAAAAGAAGCTTCCATCCAGTGCCCCCTCTTCCAGCTCCTGGCCAGAACTGATCATGGCTTCAAGGTACAGAATAAAAGGACACCTAATGAAAAAAAAACAGCTAAAACACTGACAAGATGTGGACTTATCAGGGGGTGAGCTGACCATGATCAGGTAATCTGTTCCCCTCACTCCAGAGAGGTTTAGACGCCAGCTTCCCCAGACAGCTTCCGACTGATGTGCCCCAGGTGGGCATGGTCTGAGGTGTCCAAGTCAGTCTCACACTTGGCCAGGATTTTGAGGATGGGCCTCAGTTTCAGCCACCACTGCTCCTTGGGGATTTGATGCTCAAAATTCGTTTGGTCCTTTAGCTCAGTCACTGGTTGGAAGACCAGAGCCCTCTTACGCATCCCCAGAACACAGCCAGAGTCCTGAGTATTGGCAAAAATCTGCCCATTACGGTAACTCTCTTTGATTTTTCCCAGACATCTAGTTCATAGCGTTGGCGCCCATCTTAGTGGCAAAATTCCTATCAAATGGAGTTGGGCTCCCACCCTGCTGCATGTGACCAAGCACATTCTTTCTGCTGTCGAAGATGCCCTTTCCCTCCTCGGAGTACAGGTTGAAAATGAAGTCAGTGGTATAGTTCTTATTGCACTTTTCATTCCTTAACACCAAGCTCCTTTTCACAGTTGTTTTCATCTTTTGCACCAGATGTTCAACATTTGCCTGCAGGTCTCAAATGGTGAAGGGCTCCTCAAAAATGTAGGCAGCATCAGCCCCAGCTGCCAGTCCA